GGAGAAGCAACTATAAAAACTAAAAGTGAAGGATTCATTCAATATAAAGAACTCGCAAATAATCGTTGAAGAACTGCATTGTGCTAAGTTTGACGGATGCACGAAATTCAGTGTAGACGTAGTGGATCTATATTATTCCCTTCCACAGTAGGAGCTAATGAAATGTATAAAAGAATGCATTACAGAGGACAACGACGAGCAGAATTTCCGAAACGAATGCGGTTTAAAGGTGGAAACATTTCTAGAGTTATTAATGTTCTATTTGCAATCAACCTTCATCGTTTGGGAAGGGAAAACGATGGTTCAAAAAGCGAGGGTCTGTGTTGGGTCTAAGGTGGCCCCAGTTCTCAGCGACATCTTTCTCGGGAAAGTTGATTCCAGACTAGAAAAGAAGTTAGGGGAAGGTGGTTCGTGTCGCCCGTTACGTGGATGATTACTTAATAGCAGTGCCCAAAATGAGGAGTGCATGAGTGTTGAAAAGGTTCTGCAGGTCTTTCAAGAAACAGGGATGGGCTGAAATTCACCATCGAAATACCTTCACAGCATGCCTTACTGACTCTAGTCAACCACCACCCTTGTTGGGCGTAAAACCCAAGATCTGTAAAACCTTTGCTTAATTACAAGCCCGGTCATTGAAAATTAGTGAAGAAGGGCATCGCTACGTCTAGCCTCGGGGCTGCGATCCTGAAGTCGTGTTGGCACCAGGCGGAACAAAGCTTCTACGAACAGGTGTGTCACCTTCAGGTAGCCGGCTTCCCGACGCCCATTATCACTTCTGTTTGTGAAGTTCTGATACATCTGATCAAGAAGGGTGAAAAAAGTGTTAAAAAACAAGAGAGGTCAAAGAAATGTGCCACCATGCCCTACAAGCATAGATTAGCCCATCGACTAAAAAATGTGGCATCCGATACAATATACAGGTTCTATTCTCAGCAAAAACCAAATTAGGCAAATTGTGCCCTATGGTGAACAAAAAGCATAATAAAAAGAGCTCTAGCCAAAATAAATGCGGTGTAAAACACAGGGACGCCTCACTACTCTGTGAACTAGGGATGGTGTACAGAATTCCCTTATCATGCGGAAGGGTTTATATTGGGCAAACAGGGCGTTGTCTCTATGTACGATTAAAGAAACACTCCAGAACCTTCAAGACCAACACGTATGCGAATTTGCTTTCGTACTGCCACACGTGTGGATGCAGGCCCTTGTTCAATGAAACCACAGTGCTCTTCTAACATAGCGATCAGATCACGAGAACTAGTGGAAGCATTCTATATCAAAAAGAGGAAGAGTCCTGCGTCAGTCAGACATCAATATCTTTACATGAAAAAGAAGAAATCCTAATCAGCAGCATGTTTGTTTGAATGGAATAAGCCGCGCCTGTGCAGTTACCCGTAGTGCAAAATTTTTAATGGTGTCGACACAATCCTTCGCTTGCCCTCTGCGCATGTTCTGTGCGTTTTTATATTATGTGTTCAGATAACTTGTATATTTCAATAAATTCTTCAGTTGAGAGTCAGCGCTTGTTTGTGTCTCTTCTCTTCGTCCTGTGAGTTTGTGCGCTGGTACTACCCATAATGTAAAATAAACAATTAATATGGGCTAAGGTTTCTAAAAATTTTTACATTAAAATTTTTCTTGTCCATTAAAACTAGTCATACGCACTTTCTTGATAGTTATTTGCACTTTAAAGTTAACGGGGGACATAGTTCTTAGGGCTCTCTCAATTATTTTTGAACCAAGTGTGACAAAAGTTGGCATGCTTACTTAGTTTGTTCTCTGGATTCTAAAAATGTAGTTATTTTTTCTGTAGCTTCAATAGTTAATTAAATAATCAATATAACAATTTCTATTGTTCTTACCATACTAGAAAAATAACCACCGGTCAAAAATTTATAAATAACATAGGGATTGACAGCAGAAAGTATAAGACATGCAACATAAGAAGCACTTTTTGAAATGAGTCATAATTTCTTACTTTACAGTACACTAAACTTCCCAGCCCTGAGCGTGGCCACTAGTCTTTTGTGTGGTCACACAAAAGACTAGTTTGAAAAACTTGCATCTAGAGCAATCAAAATCTACTTCCTATGTCGTGTGCTCCAAACATATAGCTTCATGCTGCAAAATAAAATATTCTGCTATCTGTAATAGTTTCAGACATATTGCAGTAATTTTCATGCAGGGTGTACAAAATTGCCATTTTCGGAAAATGAAGAAAAAGAATTCTAACAATTTTTAACTGTAAAAATTTATACCCATATAATTACACAGCCATTGACATATAAACGAATGCTAGAAAGTCTAAGGAGTGCAATGCTGCAAGCTGATCGAAAATTAAACGAGTACTTCTCGAATTACAGCACGGTAAAGTTCATTGCATGTAACTAAATATAAAAATTTTTATATCAAAATAAAAAAAAATGAAGCCACCCATTAAAAATAGACTCCCGGCATTGTTGTTGTGCACATTTAGCTACAATGTGCAAAAATAATTGCGGCTCTAGCTGTCCTAGGTCCACTTTTGCCGAACAAGCAAAAGAAAGTAGTCAAAATCTGTGCTTCGAGAACAATGCTGTTAAAACTTAATTTCGCCATTCCGAGAGAAAAATATCATGGCACACATACTTTTAGTCAGTTAATATGCACCGGGAATGTAATAGGACTGATTGTTTGTACGAGCGTGTCGTTTACTCTAGTCTCGTAGCAAGTTGTCGCCGTGTGCTCGTCTGCCGCGAGGCCGCTTATCAGTTCCGTGACTGTACTGATGGCGATGTGCGACAAATGTGCGTGCGTCATCCACGATCCGTCGAATAACGCGGCGATGTTTTCCGGCTTGTGCAGAATAAGTTACCCGTAAGTGTCGCGAAGCAAAGTTGCTCCCTCGCTCATCAATTTCGAGGCTACACGAGTGCCGAGGTGTTAGTTTGCTTTTCACGTAAGACTGCCGCATTTTCAAGCGGAGATCGCGACAACGTTGCAAACACGTCGTTGAAAGCAGTCTACCTGTTGCTAGTAGCCTCCATTGCGAGGAACGCGAGCATGTTCATTGTGAATGGATTGACTTGCTGTTGTTGGTCAATGCGCGGCGTACTCCACTCTGACAACCCGTCGCGCAGTTCAAGGTCCTTTTGTCAGGTGAGGGGAACCACAGCATCGGCTGGTTTAGCGATAAGACTGCACTTCCGTTCCGTCATTACAAAGATTGATATCTCTGGTAGCTTCACTTCTGCTTTTTACTTGCCGTCCTCTAACTGATGAGGCTGCAAAACACAGCCGTTCTCAGTAATGTTGTTGGCAACCAACGGGCTCGTACGTGAGTTAGGCCTACACTGGTGACTCGGCGACCGCTGTCGACCTCGTCGAGTTTGTTATCCTCCTTGTCCTGAGCCATAGCGGGGATCTTCCTGAAGTTCACAGTGAACGAACGACTGCCACACCCGCTTCATAAATTACTGTAACAAGGAACTTCTTCACTGCCGCAAGCAGTCAGTAGCACCATGACAAAATGGCGCATGTCCGTGCGCGTCACTATGGTGAAGCAGACGCCGAAAGCGCCCTTTGGCCAATCGGATGCCTAAATTTGTTCACGTGCCCTAAGCAGCCAATTGAATCGCGCGCTAGTCCTTCTCAATGACACGTTTTTGCTAAAAAACCAATGAGCAAGTTGAGCCAGCGGTGGCGGAAATTGAAGATGAAGAACGACCCTTCCAAACGAGACCAAGATGAACACGATAGCTCGTGCGTAACGGCAACAGTTTGGTGCGGAAAAAGCGCGATTTTAGCGTCAATCTGCACCCACATTCATCTCACAGGGATGTTATAAATTGATTTTGCGCCAGAAATAATGGCGCGAGAAGCTAGAAACTTCTCAGATAAGTGCAAAAATAGGCACAGATTTCAAAAATGTCAGCTTCAAAAAGTCGATTTTTTTGTGATTTTTGGCCTTCTAAGACCCGTGTCCCCCCTTAATCTAGAGCAATATGAGCCATTAACGGCTGAGCACCGTAAGTGTTTATTGGCATAAAAAGTTTGTCCAAAACCAACGATATGTCACACTGTCATGACATAAAACTAAAACTGCATAACTTACGATAAAACTAAATACATATTTGGAATCAGCATAAGAGCCTATATACAGCAAACATTTCCTTCCCCTAGGCTACATATTAATGCAACTTCTTTTTTTAATCACATCTCTCCTTAAGAGATGGCGCAAGGCTGTTGTACTCTATCATCATCAGTGGTTGGAAGGACCAAAGGACGTTCCAGCAGCAATTTATGGGGGTGCGATAATTACTCACAGAAAAAAAAATCGTGTTTTTCTTGTGCAATGGAAAGGAGAGGCCAGAATTATGCAAGTGTGGGGATTACGTGAGTAAATACACTACATTATTTTAGAACTTCTCTACACTCATGCAAATAACAAGAAAATTGTAGCTGAGCATAATTCGTTGTGAGAAGGATTTGTGGAAAGATGATATACAAACTGTAAAAAAGGCTGCTTGGGGAGTATATTAAGGAAAGGTTAGTGAAATTGCCGGAGCAGAGGATGTCAAAAATTGCACGCAAGACGAACTAGAGAGACAAAAAAAGGACAATACTTGTTTGTCAGTTGGAATGTACGCCTTGTTGTGGACAAATTGCGCTGAGCACCAATAAAGGCTGCAGAGAGATTTTCCCACATCACCAATCCTAATGGTGGCTAATAAAGGTACCGCATAGACGCTGTTGTGCTCATATACACTGTGGTTAAGTACACTGAGAGCATCAACCCCTAAATGCATATCTGCGGAGGGGAAGCGTCCTGTGGATACATGGTAGTCAACATCTGATGAACAACACTGCAAGCCAGAAACACTCGACCGCTAAACAGACCGAAATACATAAACTTTGCACAGATGGTACATTTTGCAATTGGATGGGCACAAGATGCAGGAAAAAGCTGTAGCACAACTGCGAACAGCTGGAGTCTTGGAGAGCTTAAAAAAAGTACTTGCCTTTTGCATGTTGAACAGGGTAAGAATGGCTCCCGTTGGCGAGTTACCCTGTGCCATGGCAGGTGTCGCTACGTTTGAGTCTGAGCAGAGGTACATAAGCAGGTTGCGCATAATTTTGCCATTTGGGCACGGGTTACGAGTCACACAGCTGCTCATCAGATGCACCAGGCTGTCTGCTGACTCCTCCTGGGTCACGAAATGGGCAAGACGTCAATCAATACGTGCCTCATTGTAGCTACAGCGCGATAGACAAAAGGTGATGGGCCACTTCCTTTTTTTTTGGGGGGGGGGGGGGAGGGGGGGTTCAGCCACATGCATTGCTGCCTGGCTAGAAAGTAATGTCTGGAATTCAAATTGATTTGCACCAGAATTCGAAGAATTCTGAATTCTGTAAAACAAAAATGACGGTTACATTAGCTTGACATCAAATCAAAGTGCGTGTAAACAATGAGCGCAAAGCCAGTTCACCTGGGGAGCTGTCACCCCACTGTGGATATTTCAGACAAGGCGATCCCTGCAAACAGACTAGAAAGAGTGCAGTGTGAAGGTGCAAAGCAGAGCTACTCCTTATACGGTAGATGATCACATGTAACGGGAACCGAGCTTATAAATTTTAATTTTATATAAAAAAGCATCTTCTTGTGAAGTTTGACATCTTTTAAAATTTGGGTGGATTTTTATGTTCACAATTAGAAAAAAAAAGGCGGCAAGCACAGTGAACACTTTTAGCTAATGAAGCTATTCTACTGGCTCATTCACTGACCAGCTTTGCTGTCTTTATGGTCACTTCAGGATATGCCTCCATGATGTGCCCACTCAAACCTTGACAAGCTCTGTCTCCATAGAACTGCATGCCTTCAAGCTCGTCATCAAGATGAAGACATTTTCCTGGTAGCTATCGTAGTCAACATGCAGCTAAAAATTTCCACCTTTTGTTTGTACCCCTCAAAGACACGCACAATCTTCGGACATGCACAATCAGTGTGCAATGTATTTCCTCAGTGCGCTATATAACTTTCCTTTATATGACCTTTCATATAGAAAGGGGTGCATTCACTTCGCTAAAAACAGATTTTTCAGAGACCCACTGTAATCGAGCATGAAATAAGCCTCTGCGAATTAGATTTGAAAGTGTGCTTCCTTGGGATTTTTATGATGGTGATGTAACCATTGTCACAACATCTGCCACTGGTGGTGGGCTATTCGTAATACGGCAAACATGAATTTGGTTTCGCACTCAGCTGACTCATTCTACAAAACTGGTTTTTTGAGTAATGTCGTAGCACCGAAAAATCAACTTCCCACATGAAATTCATTAGTATCGCAAGTTAAGTAATCAGTGTCCCTACACGGCAGCACAGTATCGTTTTCATGCAGCAAGCAGCATGCTGCTGCCTGGACTACAGGTTTTTGCGCAGATATCTTTTTTAGTCATGTTTTACAGAAAACCTCCATGCAATAGCCATGTTTGTGAAAGCGTGCACTTGTCCAGCGTGTGCAGAGAACACATGCCACCAGAATATTGTCAACCAGTGGCGCAGAAACTAGCAGGTGAGAAACTCCTGTTCGAAGGCCAACCTCCACACAATTTGGAAAAAACAGTGCCGTTTCCTTACACAGTTGCTCACAACACTTTGGTTGTTTAAGGGGGGTCACGGCCCTTGAAAACTAAGAAATCGTGAAAAAATCTACTTTTTAAAACTTGTACTTTTGGGTTGTATGTCCTATAAACTACCTATTCTAAATGATCAGCACTTGATTCAACCGCAAAGTGAAGAAAAAAATGTCATTTTTGAGGCCGGGACAGCGTTCAAAATGTGCAAACGCCCAAAACACCTAAAATCAAACCAAACTTCGCGCGTGCACCATTGTAGTCAACCCACGCCATGTTGCTATTGTTTTGAGTGTGAATAGACCTCTCCCTGCTTGCAAACAGTGTGACGTCACTGCAAAACCCGCCCACCAACCTCTCCCTAGGAGCAGGTACTGGTTGGCAAGAAGTTCGACCGGCAGGGTTTTTTTTGCATAGCAGCTCTGCGTGTGTCAACATTCCTTCGCCAGAAACTTCTGTGAATGAATCACTATTTTTTCAACTCCCAACGTTTGTAAGGAAGGGTCACTACTAGTTCACGATTCTGTTAGGTTAACATGTGGCGATTTTCACGTCAAAGATGGCAGCCATAAAATAAATCTTAGCCTTTTAGAAAGTGAACATTCTCCGTGTTCACAGTGACTAGCGCTTTAAGAAATATTTGCATGACATGATTTTGAACGAATTCAATTTCCCTCGTGAAATGTGCAGTGCAGTTCTAAGCGAGGCATAGAATTGACGACAGTAAGGTTTGAGCTGCTCTACATGAGGTCACTGATAAGATTCTAACTCAATGTGATAAATTCTGATCGGAGATAAATGAAAAAAAAAAAAAAACAAGAAATACATTTCGCCGTCCAAGCGTTAGGCTGTGGTTAACAAATATCCATTAGATTAAAGCGGAGTTTTCCGCACCGGCTTTCCTCATAACCCAGTGATCCCACTGGTGACAGCCAATTTGGAGCAATTTTTGGAGCTGTCAACTTTTAGTTTTCGAGCGCTTTAGAGCAGTAAAATATTAGTTTTGGAGCACTTTCTAGCAGCAAAATTTTAGTTTTGGAGCAATTTGGAGCAAGTAATCTTGCGATTAGGAGCATCTTGGGGCACTAAAATTTTACTTTTGGAGAATTTTAGAGCAGGTTCTCTTTTAATTAGGAGCAATTTGGAGTAGTAAAATTTTAGTTCTGGAGCATTTTGGAGCAGGTAATCTTGTATTAGAATTTTACAGCAGTAAAAATTCAGTTCTGGAGCAAGTAATCTTACTATAAGGAGCACTTCGGCATGGGTATACAGTCAAACCTCGTTATAACAAAGTTGAAGGGGAGTCCAAATTAGTTAAACCTGGATATAACAAAAATGATAAATTCCCAGAACAAATATTTATAAACAGGATTTCGTTATAAGCTGGTTCGGTACTGAAATTTTGAATATAAATGAGCAAATAAAACAAAAGAACGACTGAAGACAGAGCTAACCCCAAACAGTCATTTTACATCCAAAAACTGCGTTATTATTGCGATAGAAATTATATGGACACTCTTGGTGAGTTCTTGCTGTCGCTGCCATGTTCTGTAACTAGTGCAAATTGATAACACGCCCCCATGCATTGCAACTTTCACGAGTGGGCAAATGCGCGGGAGTGCTGCTGAAGCAGAGATCAATAGAGTCGCCCCATCCCTATCGCCTGGAAAGTGCACATCTCCCGCGTGTTAGAACTGCCAAATGCTCAAACAGAAAGTAAACCCCCATCTCGAACGAGCATAAAACAATATGGGGAGGGGAGGATCGCTTGAGTAGCAATAATGAACTTGGATTTTATTGGCGGTCCCGATCGCTCGCACGCTTGTTATCTCGGCGAGTATCAGTCCAATTTCAACACGAAGGGAGTGTGTGAAAAGAGCACGTCTCCCTAGAGTGGCCATATTTGCTCACACCATAGTTTTGTAGGTGTTCTGCGATATCGAATGCAAAAGAGTTGGCTTGGCTGCCAGCCTTACTTTTTATGACATTACAATTTTTGCTATTGCATTGCATTCAGCGGGCCGTCGTGTTGCCAGAACTAATCGGCTAATCGCAAAAGCTACCAGCCTGCGAACTCGTGGCGCTGCGCAAGAGAGAAGCACTCGACGAGTCGACCTCCGAAGATGCGTCGTCACCACCCGAGATCTCCGACAGTATCCATCAGTGCCTAATCTGACACTCCCTCTGTGGTGACAATACGGTTGTCCGAAATTAGGAAAAGTTACAATTTTGCCGTAAGGGCGAAGCAATAAATGTGGAACAACAACTTGGAATGTACCTCCGAGAACAGCAAGCAGATCCAAACGTACAGCACGCTGCTCACACACAAATGATGCACGAAAACAACATTACACAGGACGAGAGCAAACCAACAACATTTACTGCTCGACACTTAACGACACTTAAAACAAAAACGAGGCACAAAGTGTAATCACAAGTACAAATATGAGTGCAAACTAACAAGTACAGCAGTTGTTACTTCGCTGTGCTAGAAAACTGCACCCTTTTCGCAAACGGTGCCTGTCGAGTGAGCACAGTGATCTTTCTGCGCCCAACAACTAAACGGAATCGTACTGGTGAAAGTAGAAGGGGGCGATTCTCTCCACCGACGGATAAGTGCACGTTCGCGCATCGTGACAAGCTGGGTGCCAAGAGCGGGAGGGGTTTTTTTCTTCTTTCTTGAGTTCTTATCTATATAGATACGTATACATATACAGTGAATAATGACAGCGCTGACAGCAAAAAAAAAAGCAAAAGCTGATACTCCATCAAATCACAATAAAAAAAAGCAAAAGCTGAACGCCATTGGGAACTACACCATGCATGAGCAGTGAGAATATGCATGGTCGCACGGCGTTGAAAACAAAGAGCGAACGATACGGACACAGAAATGGATATTGCGGAAAACTGTTCGGTAAAGCACCGTCCATATGCAGCCCAGCCCCACATATGTTACACTAACAAAAAGCGTGGCACTGACTATGCACAAAAGTAGTTATCTTTTTTTTCTTGTTTAAAGTGTGAGGGGGGGGGCACACTGGCGCATGTGCTCGCGGCAGCGAGAACTGCGGCACCGCCGGCTCGTGGCGAGCAGGCCCGCCTGCCCGTCCCGTGCTCGCTCTTGCCCGGTGCACCGTGCGCGCCGCCGCCACTTTGCCCATCGGCAGCGGCGGGGCAGACACAGAAGATGCATGCTTGTACCAAAGTGTCCTAATGCGGAGCGAAATTCCTAAATTGTCCGTTTGGAAAATTTATTATATCAAAGTCGTCTCCCTCTGTTACTTTGTTAAACAGAGGTTGCAACTACATATGCTTCAATGAAGCAACAGCGGATAATAGAGAAACTTCATTATGTTGAGGAATTTATCATATGGAGGTTCGTTATAAGCAGGTTTTACAGTACTTCATTATAACCACTAGTTCGATATAGCCAATATCCATTTCTACAGACAATTAGCCAGCGAGAAAGAACACATTCACTACCGAATATCACAGCAGCCCACCGCGCAGAGAAGAGAGGCCATCGGAAGGCAAAAAACAAGCGAAATAATAAAGAACAGTGCACCTTTATTTC